GGCGAACGGAGTTCATGCGCAACCTGGTAGCAATAGCGGTGTAGGGTTTCGGGTTAGAGGGTTGTGGGCGCGGCCACTTGCTCTGAGATGTTGTGGGCATACAGCTGCATTCTGCCAGCATCGGCTCATGAGGCCGCGCCAGTCCCACGGAATGGTACACAAAGGCGCTTGTGCGTTTTGCGTTGCAGCTGCTGCCATTTCACACCCAGTGCTGATGGTTTCAAGCTTTCAGGTGTAGAAGGGGGGACGGGACACCTGAGGCCCGGATCCGGCAATCATTTTCCATGTTTCAACATGTGGGCAACAAGCTCCGGAAAGCGGTTTCTCGACTCCGACCAGCTTGGGAGTGCAAAAACCTTATGGGTGGTTGTCAAAATTCTGGTCCCTTTTTGGATCCTTCCTATAATACGGCACCTAATATTTAGGGTACCCCAAAAGGGATCATAATTTGGACAACCACCCTTATCGCGAGGAGGATGGGTGAGCCAGATGCCTTGATTTGTGTTCTACCGGTGTGCGCAGATTTGAGCTTCAACTGCAAGAATACAGGAAAACCATGCAACAATAACAGTACAGTCGTATCAATGCATAGTATAATCATATAAATGTATAGGATAGTACGATGAGCCTTCGGCATGGGTTCAAGATAGGATCCATATTCAGCAGGCGACCACATCAACCCGACCCACACAGTCGCAAAGGATTCCGGGACTTTCATGACATGACTGAGAACAGTCGTAACGTCTTAGGGTTTGGGGTTGAGGGTTCAGGGTTTCGGGTTTAGGGTGAAGCCCTAAAACCTTAAGGTAGAGTGCCAACGTAATCCACCACGACTTTCATGGGCCCCCACCCGCTCGAAGTTCATGTGGCGGACCTTGTTGCAGCCCCTTAGAGCATCTTGGCTGCGGACATTGGGCATCTCCCGAATTCTGGGTACCCCCGAATGTTTCCCCCCTGAACATGTGATAGTCGTGATTGTCGGAACCCCCACCCAAAAAATGTACTCCTATTTTGGGCAACTTCCATATCACAAGTAGGCCCACGATGTACTCCCCAACGCCTCACGAGGCCAGAGGGGCGTCGCAGACATGCCGGCATGGCCGGTTTCTACAGCATCCCCCATCATCTGCAGAGCAGCAGGCAGCGGGTGGAGGAAGAAAGCGCTTGATTTTGAAACGCACTGCTTGCACAAAGCTCGAATCTGAAGCAGGGGTTCCGAGTGTTTCAACGCGGCTTCTTTGCGTCCAAGTGGCAGAAGAGGCGCGGCCCGCCCACCTCTGACCCGGCTTCCTTCCGATGCGCCCAGATTCTACACGTGGTTTCGTTTTGTCTCATTCGATTCCCGTTTGGAGGGTCCTTCTGTGACTGCAATCGTGAAAAGCCTACCATGGCCAAGGTGATCTTGTCCAAAAGCCTGAAACCCTATAGCCCTGCAACCCTAAAACCCTAAAAACCTCAAACCCCAAACCCTGAAGCCTAAAACTCTGAACGCTAAAGCCCTGAAACCCTAAAGCCCTGAAACCCTAAAACCCTAAACCTTAAACCCTAAACCCCAAACCCTAACCCCGAATCCCTAAAGCCCTGAAACCCTAAAACCCTAAACCCTACACCCTAAACCCTAAAACCGTTAAACCCTAAACCCAAAACCCAGAACCCTAAACCCTAAGCCCTAAACCCTAAACCCTGCAGGCTGGGGCATTTGTTGGAAGGGAGGCGGCGGCCTCCACCTCCTGATGTGCCAGACAAGGATCGCAACACCTGGGTGGAAAAGCTTGGGTTCGGGTTTATAGCGTTTAATGAGGGTTCATGGTTTAGGGTTTTAGGGTTTAGGGTTTAGGGTTCAGGGTGTAGGGTTGAGGGCTTAGGCTAAAAGGACGGTTACGACCAGGAGTGCAGAAACTCTACAGTGACATCCGGTCGAGCGAAAAAAACTACGAGACTCCTAGGTCATTCCAAAATAAGGCCCCCCCAAGCCCGTAAACCGACGAAGGCGACCAGTCCTGCTCCTAAGTTGTAGGTCGGATTGATGCACATAGCATCACAAAAAGACCCTAAGATGGAAAACACAGCGCTGTAGTGTACATCTTGGTTTTGGCTGGGCCTTCCGGTCGCTGCCACGTCATTGCCCTGACCCTCGACCCGCAGGCCTCAGGCCTCAGGCCTCAGCCCTCAACCCTCAACCCTCTGACTCAATCCTAACCCCTAAACCCTAAACCCTAACCCCTAAACCCTTAACCCTCAACCCTAAACTCTAAACCCTAAACCCTAAACCCTAAACCCTAAACCCTCAACCCTAAACCCTAAACCAAATCAGGAGCTCTTGACCAACGGCTTCGGCATCAAGCCTTGCAAGCCGGTCTTGGGCTCCAAACGCACCGGCGTGCTGGACCCTGAGTTGCCATTCGTGCATGGTGTGGTGCTACTTGGAGGTTCATGGTACCTAAGAACCCAATTATCATTGCACTTATAAATCCAATTATGACCATATTAGGGCACTTAAAGGGCTTAGAAGTGGGTTATAAGTACAGTTATGGTTGGGTTATAAGTACCATGAGCCTCCAAGTACTTGGAGGTTCTAAGGGTCCTTGCATGGTCCCTTAATGTGGTCCCTCACCTCCTTTACAGGGTTTAGTTTAGGGTTTTGGGTTTAGGGTTTAGGGTTTAGGGTTTAGGGTTTAGGGTTTAGGGTTTAGGGTCTAGGGTTCTGAAGTATGGGCCCTTGGGGCTTGTAGGGTACCAGGCTAAGGGGCCATGAAACTACCCTTAGAGAGTTTCATGGGTAGCTACAAGTGGGGTGATACGCGCCCAAGAGAAGGTTTTATCTCTTACAGCCCTACTTCTCACCACCTATGAACTTGCAAGTCTGCAGGCTAGGGTTCAAGCAAATCTTAGGCTGGCTTACAAGATTGGCTGCATGTCGTTGTGGGACGAGCCCTGGCTGCATTGGCATGCTCGCTGCAGCTGTTGTGTTGAGATTCGCATGCCCTTTTCAACTCAATGAGCTTTGTTTTTGCGATGCTTTGGCGATGCGTTCTAGCGAGCTGCAGATGGACAGATATGCACATGGCACTGACAAGTCTTTTTGCGTCTTGCCGATCTGAGTGGAAAGGCTACGCTCCGTCCTCGCAACGTAGGCTCATGACGACATGCAGCTGTCCGTTCCGTGGCCCACCCCCCATTCCCCCCCCCCCCCCCCCCCTTCCCCCTTGGTTGATGTCAACATCATTCTTGGCTCTTGGTGGCAGTTCACATAGGCAGCTACATAGTACTGAGTTTATCCCTCAACAAAGGCAGGCCGTGGTCTTTAACGTTTACACGTGCAGACACATCACACGGATATGTTTGGAAATGCATTAATTGCGGCCTCTTCTGCACAACTTAACGCACAGTACGACGCGCCTTAAGCACAGAATGTGTCCTCGAGAGGTCAATCTTGCCCATGCTCTTGAACAAGTTCATGTCTCGTGTCTGGCAGGAATCCAAACGCAACTAACAGCAGAATCTGGACAAGCTACGCGACAGACCATGCAAGTTAACAACGAAGCGAATGCACCGCGGACAAAGCAAACACACGTGAATCTTGCACTCTGGCGCCAGGCACTACAGCAAGAACTGCCCGCAAGAACTGCCCACTTCTGCGCAAGTTGAAGTTGCGGATCTGTGCAGTTCTGGCCCCGTTCGGAACCTGCCGGAAAGTCTTTGGAACCACTCAGACCGTTCTGGGAAGTCCTAATCCCATCTGCAAACACCCTCCCCTAAACCCTAAACCCTAAACCCTAAACCCTAAATCCTAAACTCGACCACAACCTGCTTCGTGCTTTTTCCCAGGAATGGGGTGTCAAGCACATGGTGACGGTCTGTCAGTTGGACCGGCTACATGTCGTGCCCAACTCCCAGCTGTGTACTGGATCGCATCTCAGCGGCAAGAGATGGCAGATGTTCCAGGCAAAGCATGACGTTGCAGAAGAATGGCTACGAGGACCGGGACAAAATACAACGCTCTAGTACATGGTAGTGCGTTTGGCTATGAGGACCGGGATACAATACTATAGTACATTCGTCGAATCATCTAAGAATATAGTACATTAATCTAATACTATAGTCCATTAGTCGAATAGTAAGTTCCCCAGCTCTTCGCGAGGCCCTTCAACTTGGGCTCGGCTATCGATCGATTCATCGCCTAACCCGGCCAGCCGGGTTCCCGGAGGGCTCACTCACTCACTCACTCACTCACTCACTCACTCTCTCTTTCTCTCTCGCTTTCTCTCTTTTTCTCTATTTTTCCCTCTTGCTCGCTCTCTTGCTCTCCCCTGCCGCTTTGCCTTTGCTGAAGGGCCTGTTGCCAAGGGCCGGGAAACTCGCGACCAAGTGAGTCTGTATTACATCCCCAGACATTTCCAGGTTCAGCCGGAGGGTTCAGTTACAGGGTTTCGGGTTTAGGGTTAGGGGGGTTTAGGGTTTAGGGTTTGGGGTTTAGGGTGTGGGGTTTGGGATTTAAGGTGGAGGGTTTAGCGGTTTAGGGTCTAGGCTAGGGTTTAGGCAGTGTAGCCTATCTCTCGAGGCCAAAGCGGCTACAGCTTAAACGGTAAGCCCTAAACCCTCAGACTCTCCTAACACACGGTGCAGTAACCCTAAACCCTAAACCCTAAACCCTAAACCCTAAACCCTAAACCCTAAACCCTAAACCCTAAACCATAAACCCTAAACCTAAACCCTACACCCTAAACCCTAAACCCTAAACCCTAAATCCTAAACCCTAAACCCGAAACCCGCTTGGAGCGGCTCAGGAACTCGGCACGTACATGAAGGCAGGTGTTGGGCCAAAACATCACACGTGCGAGCGCGGGCCTCAACTGCAGCGCTCTTGATGGTGGTTCTTCGATGTGCATCCTTGGTGATTATTTTTTATTATTACTAATTTTATTAGTATTATTATTATAATATTTTTCTTTTTATGCGAAGGTATGCTTACACGCATTGTATATAACGTTGACTGCCAGGTTTCGGGTCTCTTCAGATTGCCTCCTACCGTCAGGACACAGCGCTTTAGGGTTGTCGAGGTTGGCTCTCTATTTGTCAAGAGGAATCTCTCTCTCTCTCTCTCTCTGTCTCTTTCTCTGTCTCTATGTCTTTCTCTTTATCTTTCTCTTTCTCTTTGTCTTCTCTTTCTCTTACTCTTTCTCTTTCTCTGTCTCTTGCTCTTTCTCTTTCTCTTTCTCTTGCTGTTTTTCTTTCTCTCTTTCTCTCTTTCTCTCTCTCTCTCTCTCGCTCTCGCTCTCTGGGAAGGACTTTTTCGACCTAAACCCTCCCCCTTGTGCGTTCGCGAGCACGAAGCTGAGATAACGATATCCATTTGAAGAGGGCTTCGGTCGTAGTGGGAAATGTGGAACCTAACTCAACCCATTTCTTTCTACGCCAGAGCCTGCTTCAGACCTGGCACGCGGATAAAGCAAGCCGAATCCAAAGTCGCAATAAGCTGTACGTTTTAGACGGCGATGTGGGAGCGTTTGTCAAGAGCACCTGTCTTGAGTCCGGCCAGCATGAGCCCACCACATGCGCTGTGCAAAGTGAGGCTTGCAAGCAAGATCCCACACTGCCCACCTGAGAGACGAAACCCTAAACCCTAAACCCTAAACCCTAAGCCCTAAGCCCTAAGCCCTATGCCCTAAGCCCTAAGCCCTAAGCCCTAAGCCCTAAGCCCTAAGCCCTAAGCCCAAAGCCCTAACCCCTACCCCCACTCTGTGTAAATCAACATCCATCTGGAGCCAGACAAGCCTTGCTGTGCTGGATTCTTTCGTTTCGATGCTCTAGTTTAGCACTCGTGCTTTTATCCCTGCGCCGCAACGGAAGTGCGTACCCCAAGTTGGGGATGCTCCATTCACAACAGGCGCTGTACCAGAGAACGGCCTACACACACAAAGGTAGGCACAGAGGGAGAGATTTTGGGTTTAGGGTTTAGGGTTTAGGGTTTAGGGTTTAGGGCCGAGTCCTGGAGCACTTTAAAAGCTTTTCGCTTGCCAGAGGACTCGAGCTCAGTGTGCGACACTTCGTCCCTGGGCAGTGGGCGGCATGCTCAGTCACCCCCCACCAACATACCAAGCACAGGTCTCAACCCTGAACCCTAAACCCTCAACCCTAAACCCTCAATGCTACTCCGCCTTGTTTGGTTGATGAGTGCAGGTCTTCGTCTCTGGATGGAGCAAAGGGAGAGGATACCACGGAGTCATGAAGCGCATGGCCCCAAGACGGCTTGTGCTTCTTCAAGTCCTGAAAAATGCGATACCCTAAACCCTAAACCCTAAACCCTAAACCCTAAACCCTAAACCCTAAACCCTAAACCCTAAACCCTAAACCCTAAACCCTAAACCCTGAACCATACACCCTAAACCCTAAACTATACCTAAACACCACGAACCCCGAGTTGCAAACATCCCAAAGCCTTAAATCCCCCCCCCCCCCCCCCCCCCCCCCCCCCCACCGAACCCCAAGTTCCAGCCTCAGCGACATCTCAGACCCTGAAGCCCGCCCCAAGCCCCTAGGAGCTGAACCCGATTCTTCCCTGTCCTTCAAGCCGCTGAGCCGACATCCTCAGCCCCAAAATTTCTGAACTTGCACTCCCAGCCTTCCCTGAGACCCTGCAAAGCCCCTAAATGCCAAACCCTAGGCCCGCACCCCCCTAATATCCCAAAACTCCTCTAAGTTTGTACGTGCGCCAAGGTTGGGGCTTCTCCGGTGGCGGGTCCGACAAGCACGGGCACAAGAAATCCCACCGGTCGGCCGGCTCTCTGGGCCGGCTCTGCTGAGTTTAGGGTTTAGGGTTTAGGGTTTAGGGTTTAGGGCTTCAGGGTTTCGGGCTTAAGGGTTTGCGGCTTAAGGTGTAGGGTTTCAGGGTTTAGGGCTTAAGGTGTAGGGTTTCAGGATATTCGGAGGTTCAAGATTTCCCTCTTCGTGGATCAGAAAGCTCGCACGCGCGCCAGGCCAGCGAGGTGTTGGGAAAGTTTGGGTCGGCAAGAAGATGGCGGGACACAAAGGCACAAGAGACCTGCGAGTCGGTTTGCTGGGGTTTAGGGTTTAGGGTTTTTTTGGGTTTAGGGTAGATCTTTCGGCGGCCCGCTCTGGCTGCTGCTTGCCCTATTTCGTGTAGGTCCAGATCCACGCTGTGTTAATGCGAAAGTCACGGCCTCAGGTCGACTTTCCGACTGCAAGAAACACATGGGTCCCTTCTCCAAAATTTGGGCCCTTTTGGGGTCCTTGTTCTCAGGCGGCCCCTCTAATTTAGGGTACCCCACAAAAAGGGACCATAATTCAGAGAGCTGACCACATGTTTGTCGCTTCCAGCGTTTCAGGGCATGGCTGCAAAGCTGCACCTGCGCACAGATCAGGTGTTTCGAATCGAAAGCACCCGGAACCTGATTTTCCTCAAGGGGGCTTTGCCTGGATACAAGGCGAGGCAGGAGCTGCAGGTGTGGCAAATGACATGGTCATCCAGAAAAATGGTCCCTTTAAGGGGATACCCCTAGGTAAGTATCCTTAAACACCATCACAGGGGTCCCCAAAAGGGACCAAGATTTGGGGGTTTCCGAAAATAGGGGACCGCTAAGATGGACCCCCAAATGGAAGGATTCCGCTCTTATTCGAACCCCAATAAGGTACCCCCCCCTAAGATCAAGCAGCACCCCCCCGTTTAGAGAGACTGCCAGAGACTCCAAAACCCCTTAATTAAGGAATATACCTTAAATCATAATAGGAACCCTAATATGATTTAAGGTATATTCCTTAATTAAGGGGTTTTGGAGTCTCTGGGCTGCATCATGGACGTCACTCCGTGCAGCCTTTCAGGGCAGCGTGGTCAAGATCAGCGATGCTCGCGGCAAGACAGCCATGAAGAACAACCACATCCGACTGCCTCTTTCCTACATGGGGGTTTACGATCTTAGGGGGGGGGGAGTACCTTGTATTATTAGGGGATCTTTCTATTTGGGGGGGGGCAAGTTTTTTTTTTCGTAAACCCCCGCATCTTGGTTGGGTCGCCTGCCATGAAAAGTTTTCGCTTCTTGTCTTCGGGTCGAGGCCGTTCCCGACGTTTGTCCCGGTACCCGGCGTGGAGTACCCAGTCACGATACAGGACAGACAGAGACCCAGAGACTCCAAAACCCCTTAATTAAGGAATAGACCTTAAATCATATTAGGGTTCCTATTATAATTTAAGGTATATTCCTTAATTAAGGGGTTTTGGAGTCTCTGGAGAGATTTCAAAAGCACAGTCAGCGCACAGGTGCCTCTGTTGCCAGGAGCCGCCACCTCAAAGAGATCCCTTCCTGTATCCTGAGCAGCCACTGTACCAGCCCCTCGACTGCAGGGTTTAGGGCTTAGGGTTTAGGGTTTAGGGTTTAGGGTTTAGGGTTTTGTCACTGGCATGCTGCTGCCATACACCCTGATTTCTTCTTGTGTGGCTCCGCTGCCAGGCCGAATGACTAGACTTACCCGTGATGGCTGAGTAAGGCGATTGCACCCGATGCAAAAGAATCCGTCTTGTCGTCTGCATGCGGAATGTAGGAGAAATACCACGTGGGTGGTCATCAATATTATGGTCCCTTTTAGATCCCTATTATAATACGGCACCTAATATCTAGGCTACCCCGAAAGGGATCATGATTTTGACAGCCGCCTAGGTCGAGGAGATGCATCGATGTAGGGCCAGTAGACACTTTTGGAGCGCCGTAGAGAGTGCAACTTTAAGTGGGGTGTCAGCCGCAGCTTGCTGACTTTACTCCCTAAACCCTAAACCCTAAACCCTAAACCCTAAACCCTAAACCCTAAACCCTAAACCCTAAACCCTAAACCCTAAACCCTAAACCCTAAACCCTAAACCTCCTCCTAGCAAGGCTCAAAGCTGCCGTGCCTTCAGCACGAGAGGGTAAAGAATGAGTTGTTCACGGAAGGGCTGTGTGCAGACGGGCTGCATGTACCTACGAACAGCCACCTGCTTCTGAGAGGTGTGTCTCTGGGTTTTCTTAACAGATTCAGCAGTCGATCTCCAGTGCTTTTTGAACCTGACGTGTTTGTTCAGCGCGGTCTGATTACGTGCAAGCTTCAGTTTCGAACTTCCTCAACATATTCGAGGTCATTCATTTTTGATTGTTTAGGCACGCCTGAAAGAACAGGGAACCCACTAGCAAGTTCATTGTCTGCAGGGAACCCACTAACAAGTTCACTGTCTGCAGCGATGGTGCAGATTCACGGCCTCCATGTGTACGCCTGATAGCTTTGACAGCACTGTGCAAGTAGCGCTTGCGCTCCAGCACTTGGTTGTTGGTGCAGGTCAGAACTCAATGGGGAGCCATCTTTGGGACGACATGTTGGTACCGGTGCCTTGGATGTGATGTTCAGGCATTTTTTCCCTAACTAAACCCGAAACCCGAAAACCTAAACCCTAAACCCTAAACCCTAAACCGTAAACCCTAAACCCTAAACCCTAAATCCTAAACCCTAAACCCTAAACCCCAAGCATCAAGGGTGTCAAGTCCGCAGTTCTGGGTTTCAGGTCCGGTGCATACCAGCTTTGAGCAGGGCTCAGCCCTGCAACAGCACCTGGACCACCTGTACTTGTTGTGCAAACCCGCTTGGCCCATGGTTGCGAATGAGCTCCAGTCAAAGCCTTGTGCAGCAGGATAGCCTTCGTAGTTCCATCGACTCCATGAATGCTGCTCTTGTCCCAGCTTGTCTGCGCCAGCATTCGCCACGTGTGCAGCAAGCGGCGAGTTTGAGGCGTGGGGGAAAAGCCGAGAAGTCATGGCTTAGCCCTCAGACATAAGAATGGTCAGGTCATCTCCACAGATGTGACTCCCCACCGAAAGCCTTGGGCCAGGAGCGGACGTATGGAAAAGCCCACGTGCAATCCCGACATGAATTGACGGTAGGGGTGTGTGACATAGTCCACACACAAAGCCTGGGCTTGTGGCTCCCGCTTGCTTCCATGTCGGTTGTTCATGGTCATGGATGACAGGTTGAAGCAGCAACTGGATTCGACTTGGCAGGCTGGGCAATCTGCGTCGGATGCCCGGGCTTGTATTTCAGTCCCTCGTGGAGATTTCAGTGACATGATTTCCGACCATGCATCACTCTCTAGGCTCGACGCAGCTTGCCGGAGACTCCGGGATAACTTAGACAAGGCTGGTGAGGACGCAGCCTTCATGGCATGTCAGATCCACTTGGAGGTTCATGGGTACCTGTCACCCCAAGTACATAGCCTACTCATAACCTACTTAGAGGACTTGGGAGCCTTATATGTACAGTTATCTCTTGGGTAATAAGTTCCCTGAACCTCCAAACAGATTCATAGATTCATGAGCCACTTGCGCACGCTTCTGCCGCTAGCAGGACCGGATTCTTTGTCGGGACCAAAGTTGCTTTATTCTCATTATTCTCACACTCTTAGTGTTTTTCGTATACTTATATTCGTGAATTGCCTTATACGTGGTTATATTTTGTTTTGAATCTTCTATTGCTTCATACTTGCTGTGCGCCCAGAGAGCGCCAGTCCTTGGGGAGTTGTTGACTGGCATGAGGTGAGGAAGCACAGTCCAGCGTGACCGAGGGCTTGCCGGCACTATTCCTGAAACGCTTCAAGGAGCACATGCGGGGAGAGTTTAGGGTTTAGGGTTTCGGGTTTAGGGTTTAGGGTTTAGGGTCTATTATGTTAGGGGGAACCCTGTCTTGGGAAATGCCCATGTGATGAAGCCTGACATGTCATGTCCGTTGTGAGAGGATCCGATGCGCTTTGCCAACTTTCAAGGAGGTCCGCTCTGAGTGATTGCATGTTCTGGTCCGCAGGATTGACTGGTCACAAACCCTAAGCCCTAAACCCTAAACCCTAAACCCGAAACCCTAAACCTAAGCCCTAATCCTAAACCCTTAGGTTGCCTCTCAGAGGCAGGATTCTTCACAGGAGTGATCCATGGATGCCAGCCCTCGAAGTTCGGCGCACCTTCAGATGAGTTCCAAGCTGAGAGCAGTCCGTTCAAGCACTGCATCATAGGGTTTGGGGGTTAGGGCTTCGAGTTTAGGGTTTAGGGTTTAGGGTTTAGGGTTTAGGGAGTTTAGGGAATTTAGGGATACAACGGCCTCTGAGGTGCAACTGCCCCAGCGGTCATGAGGAGCTGGGGTGTCAAGACTCGGCAGATTCCTCGAGCCGCGCTCACAGCCTGACAGCTCTATGCCCTAAACCCTAAACCCTAAACCCCGAACCCTAAACCCTAAACCCTAAACCCTAAACCCTAAGCCCTGGTGCGGAACTTGCAGCAATGCGCAGTGCGGCTCAAGAGAGCCCAGGCTTCGAGCTGAAATGCAGCAACCTGCTGAACACACAGATTCCAACCTCCGGCGCCGTGGATTTCTTCAAGCCGCCGGGCTTGGGTTTAGGGTTTAGGGTTTAGGGTTTAGGGTTTAGGGTTTTGGGTTTTGGGTTTTGGGTTTTAGGTTCTAGGGTTTAGGGTCTGCTCCGGAGGCGGGGTCTGTGTTGTGCAAGGGCCTGCGTTCATCAGGTCTGGCGGAGCGTGCCACATCACGCAAGAGGATGAAATCGTCAAGTCACCCACTGAGCGTTCGTTGATGATGCGCTTGCGAAAGTGTGATGTCTGCTTTGTGTTCACGTTGCTGCAGCTATGGCTGAGGCAGGTCGTTGATGACGACATGCTGAAGCATTTGGAGGCTCATCCGTGTGAACGGATGTGGGCAATCTGTACAGTGACTATCCCAGTGACATTCCGCATCGAACCTCAAGGCTTTGCTGTGGGTTTTCCTGTGTCGATCCAAATGGTCCAGCCCAGCTAGCATTGTTTTTATGGCGAACTCCCAGACCGCTGAAAATCTAATGCTCACGTGCAAGAACTCCTCTGCACTGAAGATCTCAACATGATGTGCCCTGAGCCCCGCTTTTCGTGTGCCCTGACCCTGAATGGGTTTATGGCTTGGCTTTGGGTGTAGGGACATCTTGATGCCACGAATCTGCAAAACCCGGCGCAGTCCAAAAATCTCAAACATTCCCTAAACCCTAAACTCTAAACCCTAGCCCCAAAGCCGAAGCCCCCGGGTGTGCCTCCAGTGTGCCCACACTTGGCTCGCAGACGTCGGCGATGCCCGTGGGCTTCTTCGCACTTCCATGCTACGTGGCCACCTCTGAACAATGCTTTCAGAGGAATGGTTCGGGCCCCAAGACAACGACATAGAGTATGTGAGTACATTTGCAAAAAAATGTAGAGTATATATATATATATATATAATATGGAATATACACACACATATATATATATATAGGTGTATATGGTGACCCGCCCTCCCCCCCCCCCCCCCACAAAGGATGGAGGTGAGAATGAGGGTTTTCTTTAGCATCAAAAGTACTGAGGGGAGTGCAGGTCCGCTCTAGCAGTAAAGGTACCGAGGGGATTGACTGAGGGCCAGACAGGTCTTCTCTAGCATTCAGGTTACCGAGGGGTGCCTTGTGGTCACTGTGCAGGTGCGAGGAATGTCCCAAAAGATGTGGGTGCCAAGCTAAAGTGCTCCTCGGGTTTGGTTACTGGGGGCGGGGGGGGGGGGGTAGCATATCTATATGTATATACGCACATATTTAAAAAGAATGAATATGCAGTATATATAGATATATATATATGTATATATAGTACTAGTCTTAACAGCAATCCTATCCGTCTTGGGGCAAAGCGTCGCCACGCTGCAGGTCTGTCCCGACGGCATTTCCGGAAGCAGGCGGCGCACAACTTCATCTGGGTGCGTCACTGAGGATGCCTACGACTTCTACTACGATATCCCATAGCCCCGCAAGACCCTAAACCCTGAACCCTAAACCCTAAACCCTAATCTCCTTTATCCTTGGTACTTGTACTTCTGTTGCCGAAGTTGGATGCACCGAGGTGGCCAGTAGGCACCAGACCGACCAACCGCTTGATTGCGATTGAAACCGTGGAAAAAGTGAACCGTGCCACACAAGGCGAATCCTCAAAATTATGGTCCCTTTCGCAGGGTGAATTCTCTAAACTCTGGTCTCCTAAATATCCTAATTATTAGGGGCCGCCTTATTCTAGTAACCCCAAAAGGGACGATATTTTCGAGAAGTGACCACATGTTGCACGGCAAGTTCGGGTTCGTCGCGCGCGTGCGCTGGAGCTGATTTTGATGTGTTTTGGCTCGAGGGGATCCGAGTCAGGACTCTCGTGCCTCAGGCGGGTTGAGCATGTAGAGGGTTTAGAGTTTAGGATTTAGGGCTAGGGTTTAGGGTTTAGGGTTTAGGGTTTAGGGTTTTAGGGTTTAGGGTGTAGGGTGTAGGGTTTAGGGTTTAGGGCTTAGGGTAGGTTGTGCCCCGGAACATGTCTCCCCCTGAGGTTCGGCTGACCTTGGCACTATGCCTTCCAGGCTGCGCATCCGGTCAGTGGTAGGTTGGAGCAACTGCTGCAACCCTAAACCTAACCCCCTGAACCCCTAACCCTGAACCCGAAGCCCTAAATTCCTAAACCCCTAAACCCCTAAAACCCCCTAAAAACCCCTAGCAACCCCTAAAAACCCCTTAAAAACCCCTATAAACCCCTAAACCCTGACGCCTAAACCCTGTGTGTCAGGAATGTCGTCTCCTCTGGCCCTGCCCTTGGCACGCTTTGCATTCGCATACCTTCTGTTGGCACAGTGGGTCCACCCAAAGCCCGAAACCCCAAGGCCTAAACCCTAAACCCTAAGTCCCAAAACCCGCAAACCTAAACCCTAAACCCCAAACCTGTTCAAGGTCCATGCATAGATGATGCCGAGTGCGGATATCGCCTCAGACGGGGTCTTGCTTGTGCTCAAGTAAGTTATGGAAGGGGACAGACGACGTTGATGTGATGTGGTCTTGATAAAGCTGAAACTTTCGAGCCTAAACCCTGAACCTCCCTTCCCAAAATCAGGTGCTTGCATGGAAGACACAGGGGAGACTCAAAAGCATTGGTCGGACACCCGGATCGGCGTCTATGCGTCAATGGAGGTTTATCTTGACTATGCTCAGGACCTATGTGGGCGAGGGGAATGGACAATATCAGAAGGTGCAAGCAGGGGTTGCTGACACAGTCTAGGTTGTGGTCCTTTTGTAGCCCCTGTTTTCATACTTTGCGGTAGCCGAAAGTCCGAACTTAGAGAGAACTGGCCATGGTACTCATACGGTGCATGCAGTGACCAAGAGCCAGGTGGAGAAGTACATGGCGGTATCTGGTGGAGCCTACACGATAACGGAGGCCCAGTTTTTCAGCCCATTGGTGTATACGCGCAACAGAGAGTGTTTGGTCCCAGGTGCCCTCGCGGAGGATAAGCCCTCAATGTTGCTGCTGGTGCCCTTCGGCTGCGCACATCGCCCTAAACCCTAAACCCTAAACCCTAAACCCTAAACCCTAAACCCTAAACCCTAAACCCTAAACCCTAAACCCTAAACCCTAAACCCTAAACCCTACACCCTAAACCCTAAACCCTAAACCCTAAACCCTAAACCCTAAACCCTAAACCCTAAACCTAAACCCTAAACCGTGGGTTCCATGATATACCCGTAGTGTGGCCCTTTTTGAGATGGGCCGATGCCTGTGTCCTTGTTCGCCAAGGTTTTTGCATTCTCGTTCTCACGCTGCTGCTTGCGCTTGTGCCGGCCTAAGTTGCCTCAGATGGTGACTGAAGCACGCAGTTTAGGGCTAGGGTTTAGGGGGTTTGGGTTTAGGGTTTCGGGTTGTTTCTTTTCTTTTTTTTTTTTTTTTGGGGGGGGTTTCTTAAGCAAATAGCAGAAAGGGAGAAGAAACATGCCTCTTATCCACACGGAAGGTGGGTATCCAAGGGGTCAACCTTCAACGTGTCCTAAACCATTTCAAAGCCCGGAGCCCTGAAGCCTGAGTGAGCCCCACAACCCGAAGAAGACCAAGGAACTTTTAGGGCTTCGGGCTTAGGGTTTAGGGTTTGGGGGTTTCATCAGCTTGGACT